TCATGACCCCCTGTTAATTCATTTTTACTTATTTTTTATTTTTTTAATTTTTCTTTTTTTAAAGATTTTATTTATTCATTTGACAGAGAGGGAACACAAGCGGGGGGAGTGGGAGAGGGAGAAGTAGGCTTCCCGCCAAGCAGGGAGCCAGATGCGGGGCTCGATGCGGGCTCGATCCCAGGACCCTGGGATCTTGACCCGAGCCGAAGGCAGACGCTTAATGACTGAGCCACCCAGGTGCCCTCCTGTTAATTTCATTTTTAGTGAGAAACGTAGAAATGGCCATTTTGAATTTTAGTAGATGTCAATAGGTGTATGTAACCTCCTTCTTCCTGTACATTAATATCAGAATTGTTGAGTTTTTAGGTACAAAATGAAGCACAGAGAGAGTTGCCCTTTTTCAGCAAATTCTTATTGCACCTATAGCATGCAAGATGTCATAGGGTATCTGGAAATAATTGGGATATGGTACCTGTGCTTGTGCTTACTATCTGGGACTGCCATCTAATAGACATAACAGATGCTCAGTAAATAATCTTTGAATAAAAGCATCATGAGCATAGAGGGGAGGAGATAAGGGGTATAAGATTTAGCAATAGTGCAACACTGGATAAATACATCACGTTACATTGGGAATTTTTAGAGAACAGAGACATTACTTTTATATGCCAGGATAAGGGAATAATCTGTTGGACAGGGTTTCTTAACTTCAGCACTGTTCACATTTTTAGTCAGATAATTTTTTGTTGTGGGGGGCTGTCCTGTGCATTGTAGGGAGTTTAACAGCATCCTCAGCCTCCAACTCCTGCTGTCTCCAAACATTGCCAAATGTCCCCTCCAAACATTGCCAGATGCCCCTAGGGTCAAACCCCTAAATGAAAACCAGTGCTGTTGGGGATGTCTTTTAAGGGACCAGGGAGGAGGGTAGCATGGCATAAGGAACATAATGGGGGAAAGCTTAAATGTAAGTGCAATTATCAGAAAAAATGAATTTGATGTGACATAATGGGAGTGGTGAGTAAAATGGGCCGATAATGGAATGATGCTGGATATGGATATGGATGTATTATATGCACACTTAGGAGTTAGAGCTTTATTTGGAACACAGTAGGAACCTATTAAGTTGTGGAGTAAAAGAGTGACAAGATCAGAGCCTTGGTTTTTAGGAAAATGAAACTGGCAGTTATGCATGTGTAACCTGAATTAGCAGATAGAGAGGATGCCTGGAGAGGTCAGGGGCCCATAAAAGTAGTCCAGGAGAGAAGTAATTCTGGACAAGAGTAGTGGTAATAGAATCAGTGAGGATTATTAGAGTGTTTAGGAGAGTAGGATTTAGCAATAAACTGCATGTAAGGAAGAGGAATCAAATATGACTTTTTTTTTTTTTAAAGATGACTATATTTTAAATTTGAGAGAGAGGGAGAATGGTAGTGCCATTAAGGAAGCGGAGATTACACAGTGAGAAATGGGTTATGGAGGAATATGACAAGTTAAATTTTAAACATAGTGATTGTCTGTTTATGCCTCTTCAAAATTGCTATTCCAGCTGAATGAGTTTTGATTAACTGCTTTTGTAGGCCACTTTGAAATTAGGTTCTGTTGTTTTTTTCTGAACAATATATCAGATTTGTAGACAAATACTTTAGATATAATTGCCTTTTAGGCATCTGTTTAGTGCCTATTGTAGCATAATGTTAGGTCCTGAGGAAACAAGAACGAAGAAAACACATTTTTGTCCGTTAATGAGACAATGTGAGAGGTCTGGTGGTACATGCTGATCTGCTCCCTGACCTAGGAATAACTTCTTTAGTGAAGTGGAAGCCAATGTCAGTTCACAGACCAGAATCTGCCAATTACTCTGCAGGTGTTCATAAAACACCTACTGATACATGTCTTATATTGTTAGAATTACCTAGGTACTATGATGATTTCTAACCAGCTGTGATGTTCTAATGGACAGGAAGTTTAAAAATTGATCAAAAGCTCTTTTCCACCTTCATTAGTACAGCGCTCACACCTTTTCCCATGGGACTGGGAAAGGGGGTGTGGAGATGGATAAGGGGGGAAATAACTAAACTTTTAATAGCTTCTCTTGTTTACAGAATGAAATCCAACATTCGAGACTCTTCATAATCTCAATCCAACTTTTCTAATTATTACCTATTAGAAGAGGTCAAGAGAAATTAAGTAATAGTACGTGGTAATATTTAGTAACATGTAGATACGCCCTTTTCATTCAAAAAGGAAACCGAAAGAAACTGGGAGACGCAGGGTTGCATGGGCCTTTTGCAGGACAGAATATGGTCTAATGAACAGGTCCTGCTGTATTCTTGAGTTGTGTAGCTCACTGAAAGCCACTTTCATCAAATGTTCTGGTGAAGGTCGAGTGCCTTTCGTGAGCAGAGTGTTACAAGGGAGAGGGATTTTTCTCAAAATAAAATTCTCTGATGTATTTGATAATCTTTGGCCAGCTTTAAAATTCTAAGAATAAATTAGCAAGATAAAATTACTCTGAAAGCACAAAGCTCTAAAGGAAATTTGGCTAATTAATACATTGAAAAGAAACACATTAGCCCACAATAATATAGTTTTAAATCTATGTAGTATATGTGCTTACAAGGATTCATATTACTGTAGATTCCAACAAACAGAGAAAGGCATGCAATTTGGGGAGTTAACTAAATGTCTTCTAATTCTTTAACACTTTAATCATATAGCCTTAATAATTAAATCATTTTTTTTCCTCTGGAAAGCCTACCTTGTTGTAACTACTATAAATTTAACATTTATTCATTATCTACCAGGTAGAGCTCTTCTCATAATTGTAGTCCTTCGTGTATCTCATGTTTTCAAAAACTTGAGTCAGCATTTCCAACTTTTCTTCTTTATGGGATAACGGACTTTTCCTACAGTTCTTTTCTTTCTTCTTTTCTTATCCCCTTTCCTTCCCCCTTCCCTTCCCTAAACTAGTTGAATTTACTACTCTTCCTTGTAATGAAGGAGCACACACACCCTGGCAGAACAATGGGGTGTCTCCTGTTTATCAAGTACAGTAAGTACTTAAGTACTCAGTGTTCCTGTCAACACCAAGAGGTCTTTTACAGCTGTGCATCCTCAAGCAGACATTCCCAGGCTTCCTTCCTCTTTAGGCCCTAATTCTCTGGAGTCTGTCTTCTCACAGAAGACCTAATCATAACCAGGAATCCCATGGTAAATAAGAGCCACTAAACTTCTTTTAAATCTTCTGATGAAAAAATACTGATGAAGATCATGCCGATTCAGCTTTAAGCGCACTTTAAACAGTAATTCTTCTCCTTTCACAAAGGTGACGTCATTTCTTCCATCTGTCAGTGTATTTTAGAGAACCTAGTACATCTCAGCACATCAGCATTCAAACCTGACTTACTTCATATATATTTTAATGAGGAAAGGGAGTATGCAAAACTAGCTGAGTCTTAAGCTCTAACTTCCAGTTTGTAGAAATACTGTGACTTGAGGAACAAGTTAAATGCCACCCTAGTAGCCTGATCTTCTGAAATGAAAATTCAGTGCAAGGTCATGAAAAGGGGTGGCAGTTGGCAGAGCTGTTCTAGACTTAAACAATGTAACCACAGATTCCATGTGTGATCCTTAGTTGGATCCTGGTCTGAAGAAGCCAATTAAGGCAGCTGGGGAGAACTGAAGACATCTGAATTGGGTACTTGAAGATATTAGGGAAATACTGTGAATTTTGTTATGTGTGATAGATAGTAAATGATTAAGGAGGAGAATGTCCTTATTTTTAACAATGCAAGTGGAAATAATTAAATAATATTTGTAACTTCTAACACCAAAAAAATATGAAAACATATCAGTTACTGAAATTAGGTAACATATATCGGTGTTTGTGCCAGTTACCAAATTGTTGCCTCTTGGCAACAAATTTACCCATCATTGCCCTACTTTGTGCTACCGCAGCTGGACCTGTGTCCTTTGGTACCAAGTTGCTTTGTCAGTAGGGGGTGGTGGAAGGACATGTAGGAGGAAGGGGCTTCTCTTCTTGTTTCTGATCTGGGGCACAGCTGCCCAGGGTGCTCTTGGACCACGTGTTAATAGGGGGCCAAGATATTTAGTCCACATTACTCTGGATGTTTCTGTAAGGGGTTTTTGGGTAAAATTAACATTTAAATCAATGAACTTTGAGTAAAGCAGAATGCCCTTCATAATGTGGATGGCTTCATCCAAACAGTTGAAGGCCTGAAAAAAGACTGGCCTCCCCTGGGCAAGGGAGAATTCTCCAAGCAGATTGCTTTTGGACTGGAACTGCAGCCTCAGTTCCCTGGGCTCTCTCCAGCCTGCTCGCTCACATTGTAATTTTGAACTTGTCAGCCTCCATAAGTCATACCTGCCAATTCCTCCTAATAAGTCTCACACATCCTATTGGTTCTGTTTCTCTGGAGAATCCTCACTAATGCAGATAGAAACTGATGCTTAACCCAATAGCAAGTTTTGCTGACACCCTGGGTGGGAGGCTGCTTGCTTACCATTCCAGAGGGTTTTCTGTTTGCAAGGCCTGATCCACCACCACCTGCAGACCAGCTCTGGCCCAGGGCAGCCCAGGAAACTTTTCTGTTAAGTGGGCCAAAGCCATGCTCTCTCCAGTAGGCTTGATTCCACCTCTGGGGGAAGGGAAGCCCCTTCCAAAGGTGTTCTTCCCTTGGGTACTCTTTCTCAGTCTTAGTGTATGAGTTCACTCTTATGCCCTAATAGCTTATCCTATTATCAGTTAAAAATTCTTTGTTATCAAAATTATCCCTCTTCAAATTCATGGTATGGTTTCTGTCTCTTGATTGGACTTTGACTAATACAGTATTTATTATCATATTACTATTATTTTATGTTTGAGGTTTTTCATTAGTTATCCCAAATTTGTGATCATTTATTAAACATTTTACATAAAACAAAGTACTGTTTTTGTTTGTGTACTTCTCATAGGAAGAGTCCAAAATATATAACCAGAGTCATGATTGTATTGTATACTTTTTTACTAATACCCTAAGAGAAGATTTATATAAATTATCTGTCTTAAAAATGTACACATTACTTCCAGCTGAGTTAACTCATTTTTTTTTAAGAGAATACTAGTGAGTATTTACACACAATGTAATTTGCTGTGAATTTTCATAAGCTATAAAAGTCTTTAATAATAAATCAATTTAAGCTTTTTTGGAAATAATTTCTACTAAAGATTCATAATCAGCATAGTCCTTCAAGGACTGTACAAGTTCATCCAGCAGAAACTCCCCTTGCATGAAAGTTTCAAGATCATGAAGTGACTTGTTTATTCTGTGATCTGTGACCCGGTTCTGTGGAAAATTATATGTTCTTATTTTCTCTGACCTTCCTTTAGTTCCAACCTATATAAAAAGATATGAGATACAGTTAGATTCAGGGCAACTAAACCTATAAATTTAACTTACCTGGAGATTAAGCTCTTGATTTATAATTTGAAACACAATGTAAGAACCAAGTTTTAAACATTTTGAAGCCTCAAATAACATAGGAACATAACAGAAAAAAAAAGGAATACTGGCTTTAAAGGCTGACAAATTTGTAGCTGATCTTCTCTCTGCCATTTCAGTGCTCTATGACTTCAGGCATTTATTTCAACTTTAGTTTCCCTATCCATAAAATACAAACAAATAATAGCTACTACACCATGATGATGTAAACATACAGCCTAGCACAGAGATGGTATTCAAATGGTAGCTAAATATATACATATATATATGTAAAATCTCTGTGAATTAATCTGATCATTTTCAGTGATGACACAGTGATAAATTCCCATAAATTAATAAAGGGCTGTGTAATTATAAAATTAAATACCAAATAGGAAGAAAGTAGTTCAGTTTGCTTTCCAACTTTCTTCCATAATTTTCAAAGGATTCAAAAATGGGAATTCCATATATCCTTTTTTAGTAACTTTGATTAAAAGTCTGAGAAAAGGGGGTGCCTGGGTGGCTCAGTCGTTTAGGCGTCTGCCTCCGGCTCAGGTCATGGTCCCAGGGTCCTCAGATCGAGCCCCGCATCGAGCTCCCTGCTTGGTGGGAAGCCTGCTTCTCCCTCTCCCACTCCCCCTGCTTGTGTTCCCTCTCTCGCTGTGTCTCTCTCTCTCAAATAAATAAAATCTTTAAAAAATAATAATAATAAAAGTCTGAGAAAAGCCCTTGAATATAGAAACCAGGGTAGGGATTTAAAATTACTATAAAACAAAGATAACCCTAGGTTGAGCTACTTGAATTCTTTCCTTATTTTTTTTTTTTTTTTAAGATTTTATTTATTTATTTGACAGAGAGAGACACAGCGAGAGAGGGAACACAAGTAGGGGGAGTGGGAGAGGGAGAAGCAGGCTTCCCGCCGAGCAGGGAGCCCGATGCGGGGCTCGATCCCAGGACCCTGGGACCATGACCTGAGCCGAAGGCAGACGCTTAACCGACTGAGCCACCCAGGCGCCCCTCTTTCCTTATTTTAACAAATACATTGGAATAACTTTAACATGTATAAAAACTGGGTTATCTAAAAATACTTTTATCCTTCAGAGCATCTTTTAAATACAGTTTTACCTGAATCTTTCTAGCACTGTATCTTTTACTTGTTTCTTCTTCCAGATACATGCTGTACAGTTTTGCACGTAGCTTCTTCATAGCCATCTCTCTGTTTTTCAGTTGAGATCTCTCTTGTTGGCATTCAGAAACAACACCTGAATAGTGTTATGAGAATTATTAAAGAGTTTTAATAGGAAAATCTTCATTTATTATCAAGGAATACTCTTTTTCCTTCTTTTTCTTCTACCCTTATAAGGAGAAAAAACAGAACTCTAATAAAAAAGGAAGACTATTAACAAATGACTTTTATAGGGTTCTTAGAAAACTGAAAATATATTCATATTGGAGGCAGACATACTGAACAATAAGCACTAAGCATTTAATATGGATTGTTTTCCCATACCCTTAGCTAGCCACCATAATTTTTTTAAAGTAATAATTACTCATCACTGAACAAAAATAAAGTTAATCCTACTACTAGAGATAGTAACTATTCATATTTTTATGAGGATTTTCATCCATTTTTTTCCTATTGCTGTTTACATACTATGTATTACACAGACATCATAAAGTTTAACTCGAGGATTTCCTCATATTTTAAAAAACAAAAATCTATCAGTCTGCTCCTATAAACCACTGCTGATCCATGGGAATTATGCCTATTTGAGACTGGTCACAGCAAGAGATTCCTGTATTCTTTCTAGGTAACAGAGGTTTGCTATCCATATGCTTTATCACATGTAAATCACTGCAGTAATGACTGTAAAGCACATTTAGTGCTCACTGATAGTAGACCGAAAACTTAAGAAATATTTAGATATAGCTCCACTGCCTATCTACAGTCAGAACTGCTGGAGGTTTGTGGGTGGACTTCATGGAGAAGCAGGCCTGGAAGTTAAGTACAGAATTTTGCAGGTGAGCATGTTTCTAGGTAGCGAGTCCAAACTTTCATTTTCTCAAAGGAGTCTATGTCTCCTCCCTTCAAAGAAGGCTGAGAAATAGTGATTTAGAGCACTTTCTGATAAAGAAGAACCTATGATAATGACTTCATTCTGAGGATTTTCTTTTATTTATTTTATTAAATTTTTAAAATTTTTTTTAAAGATTTTATTTGCCAGAGAGAGAGGGAGAGTACAAGCCACCTAGGTGCCCCTATATTTTTTTATTTTAGGTAGGCTCCACACCAACGTGGCGCTTGAACTCACAGCTCTGAGATCAAAAGTCACATGTTGTACCTGACTAAGCCAGCCAGGTGCCCCGGATTTTCTTTTAATAGTGATATTTACTAAGTATAAGCTTCAGGAAGCTACCTGGAAGCACTCTCCACACCTTTTCTTTATGGTCACCAGTATGGAAATTCTCTGGGCTTAGATCCCTCCGTCTTCCTGGCTTTGCAATTATCCTGCAGAGTTTCATCTAAGGATTCTAAATGAAGTATTTAATAATAATATATACTATAATAATAGTATATATTCTGGTAATTAAGGATCTATTACAGTGGAGAATTAGTCAAGTTATTCAGAATTTGATTTCTTTCTTCAAAGTTTTATGCTGAAGGGATAAGTACATACCTGTTGGAAGATGAACTATCCGGACAGCACTGTCCGTGGTATTTACATGCTGTCCTCCAGCTCCACTGGCTCGCTTAGTATCAATTCGCAAATCTTTTGGGTTAATCACCAGATTAATCTATACACAAGAGGAAATACTGGGACTTAAAAATATCACATGTATATGAACTGTTCAAAGGCAAGAACTATCCATTTATAAATATAAATACATATCATGTACAGAATTAATAGAAGATTAAGAAGGTTTTAATTTTAAGAACATAAAGTAGTTGGAATACCATTTTTAAAATGTCTATTTTTTAGAAGAGTGGTGGATCAAAATATAATACAAAACAAAAACAAGCCCTCCAAATCCTCAAAAACTAGACTTCTCTGTAAAATTACCCTCTCCTTACCACATGAACAGAAGAACTTAGTTAATATTAGAAATGGGAATACAGGAACTAATGTGAGCTTCTGTGGATTATTTCTGAGTTTAAAAAGACAACACGGGAAAAAAACAATGCTAGTTTAAGAACAATGGGAAGACTTATTTTGTTTAATTTTAAATAAAGGAGGACTTAAACATATTTGGAGGCAGGGGAGAGGCACATGAGAACAGCACAGGGCAAAGCCAAGAAGTCATACATACACTGGGATCCAACATCAATGTAATGCTCGTGTTACGTCTGGAGCACTAGATTTAAAAAGCTCTGTTTCATGAACAGCTGTGGACCCTCTGCGACATGTCCACAACCCTGGCAGCAGGCCTCCTACAATTCATAGGCCTCAGTGTCTCCCTACGTGGCTCCTTTGTATGGTTGCTAGAACCATTAAATATGGACTTCAGCCCATCTTCTCCTGTAAACCACTTCCATCTCCAACATGCTTAAACCAAAATGACTAGGATCTAGATGTGGCTCCTGCCATGTATTCTACTGCATGCTCTTCCTTAACTGTTCTGTGCCACATCTAGGATTTACACAAAAATTAGATCTAAAGAAAGGAATTTAGAGTCAAATAGCACCTTTCCCCCAAATTAACAGAAACCCTCAATTAAACTTCCTTTTCCACCAGTCATTCATACTTCATCCTGGAAAAACAAGTCATATATTTCTTACCACTTTCAGCAGAAGGGATGGAAGCAAAACAACTTTTTTTTTTTTTTTTTACAAATACATAAACTGAGAATTTGCTTGTGAGAATGAAGCGTATTCATTATGAGCACTGTAACAATATATTTCCATTTTAGTGTGATTGGGTTATGAAGCAGCAATTCTGTTAAGTAGCTACTCTTGTTAAAACACGACTCTTACTATTAACACTGGGAAAGTCAGACAAAGCAAAAATCGTTATGAAAGTAATCAGTAAACCCTATTTAAAGTAGATTAATAATGTTTCTTCTATAGAGATGATCTCAGAATAACTACTTTAAGCTTAGTGGTGGAGAAAAATTAATAAATAGTGCAACATTAGGTCCTTTATACATCTTTATAAATTGTTACCATCTGTTGTGAAATCACACTTTTTGGACCGAGGTAAGAGATTCTCCAAAAAACCCAAAATATGTGATGAAGGTCAAATGATAAAAGGAATTTAGTACTGAATATCAGTTTAGTAAAATGAGTTGTTACTATGGGGGCAGTGCTGGGCCCAGGATTCCAAGGCGAGGCTGTGATGCCTTACCTCGGTTGGTTGGGGTAATATTGCTACAGTCATAGTGCTGGTATGGATGCGGCCTTGCTTCTCTGTCTTTGGCACTCTTTGTACTCTGTGCACACCACCTTCAAATTTCATGTGCTTATAGGCTTCTAAGCCCCCAATGCTGGCAGATGCATGTCTAAGGCCACCTTGAAAATATTGGGAAAACAGAATTATTATTCTTGTGATTTATAAACAACTGACCATCACTTCCACCATCTTGAAATTACATTGAAAAGAGCTACAAAACAACAGAAGCATACAGAATGTAAAACACATTGAAAAACCTTAGCAAGTCCATGATATTCAGTGTTTTAATATTTAATACCTTTATTGCTAATAACCACTAAACATAAAGCATTTATGGTATTAATGAACTGATTGAATAACATGTCTAAAAGGCCCCTTTTAAAAGACCATTAATCATTTAATGGTGAGTAGTGAATGACATCTTATAGACCACTTCAAAATTGGCATATTTGTATTCAAGATTATTAAGTGAATGATGAGCATAAAATCAGGTAAGCTTCCTTATCAATAAATTCTAAAGCTTAGTCGTAGTCTTTCCAACCCTTATCCTAGTACACATGTAGATAAACTAAATCTGTACTCTTCCCAAAACGACTTACACAGTTTACTGACCTATTTCACTTGGAAAATATTCCAGGGTTTCAAAATGCCATCTTTTAAATGCAGCATATTGCTGATACATATCAAACATCTCTGAAGTAAACAACATTGCCTCCTGACCCCCAACTCCTGCAGTTACCTCCAAGATCAAATCATTTTCATCTGTTTCTTCTGAGGGAACCAAAAGTAAAATAATCTGTAAATACAAAAATATCACCCCTCCTATAATTAGGAATTATTTAAAACTTAACAAAAAATAAAGCTAAATGATTAGATGCAGGATTTTAAATATTGTATTAAAGTTTCTCTAAGCAAACAGTATTGCTGATTGCTCTTCAACTATCTTGCCAATGAGAACCATCTAGTAATGCATAACTTCTATAAAATATTAGTGTAACAACTATATTATAAATGCTGTAAGGTCCAGCTGAAACTTATATTGCATTGCATTGTTTTGTTTCTTTTTGATGTTCATGTATAATTTTATGTCAGTTCTCTGTTCAGTTAATTAAGAGTTTGTTGTGAGTAGGACACTATATTGTGTAGAATGCAAAAGAAGATTCTAACTCTATCCTTCTGAAATCTATAGCTTACTACAGCAGAAAAGAAAAAAAAACCCTCACATTGTATCTTCTTAAGCTTCTTTAATTTGGAAGAGAACATATGTCCTTTTATTTCACAAAATTAGAAAATGGGTAGAAGGCAAGTTACATGAGACTTTTCACTTCATAGTGGAACTTTCCCTCTGGAATGGGTGGTAAGGACATTACTTTTGATGAGTCCATTATTTGATTAAAGACAGAATCTTTAAATTAAGCTCCCCCTTTTCTGGGCTCCTTCCTCACCTCGCCATGTCCTTTTACTTATATCCTCAGAGATAACTACTGTAAATCTTTAAGCTCTGGTTTCCAGAATGAGCAAAGAGTGGTTCTTATTTAATATAATGATTACTATTCATCTAATGCCTATGGATTCTCCTAGATATAAAACCAAAGCACCACAATTCAGTTCTAAAAGCCCAAGGGCCCACTCTAGGCCTGGCACTCTAATAGTGCCAGAGACACAAACGTAAAGAAATATTCCTGCTGCCAAGCAGCTCGCTATCTACCACTCCTCCATAACCTCTTCTACCCATTGTCTACCCCCACCCTCACCTCTCTTAAATAACCTAAAGAGGGGGCAGATATAATACTGATATTTATTTCATTACTTTTCCAAAAAATCCTATCAACGTTGACAGTCACCTTTTTTTCCATGGCTCTCCAATCCTTTTGGTATGATAAAAATAGGACCACATGGAGTATGCTTTTTCCTGCTTTAAAAAAGTTTATAATTCTAAATAATAACAAGCTACTTAGTTCTTGAGTTGTTTTTATAAACTTCTAATAAAATTCATTAGAAGTAATAGCACAAATGCTTTATTCTTTGCAGATACCATACCTGATGCTTCAGCTGAGTGATTTCTTTTTGACATGAGCTTATTTCATTCTCTGCAAGTTTCCTTAAGCCTTCATTTTCATCTGCGAAAATAAAGCAGTAGGTTAAGTTTTCCTTCATGTCAAACTGCCAACAGAATTCAAAGTCATTATTTTATTATTATTATAGCTGAAGGGAAAAATAAAATGTCTTTCTTGTCCTTTAATAACTGCCATTAATTAAAAGTGGCATTTTATGCATTAGTTTTTATTTATTTTATTTTATTAACTTAAAACAAAAAACATTTTTCCTGATGACAGAAGTATAAGGAAAATAAAAAGAATCTACAAAAAAATAAAGAAGCTATTACCTATTCTATAATTCTACCTCCATGAAATATTCGTATTAAAAAATATGCTTTTAGTTTTCCAACTTAGACTACTAACAAATACAATGAGTAGTTAAACCAGAAGGGGAACTGAAGGTTCCATCAGTTAAACCACAATGGAATTAAAAAATAGAAAGTTATTTATTGTCTCTTTAACAAACATTTCATTAATATAAAATAAATATCCACCAAGTATTTAGATCCTGCCTCATGTTCACAGAATGTTTACATGAAGTACTTCCCCCCGCAACTCGCTTTACTCTTTTACTTCATCTTTTGAGTTTTCATTTTTATCTTACAAAATATACCTTCTCATCCCTCTATCCTATGGACAACATGCAACCTAGAGAAAGGAGAGAAGAGAAATTTTTTTAGCTCTTACACATAGCTCTCTTTGAGCAGCTCACTTTGGTGAAAGATCGGACTGTTCCAAAGTATCAGTTTGTATGTTTGTTCATTTATGAAGATCCAACTATGCTGGGAATTAGAGATGATAATATGTAAGACCTGCTCTCAAGGCAGGGTTTTAGATAATTTTAGTTTCTTTATAATTTTCTAGGGGAGAAAAACAAAGAATAACAACCTAAAACACTAGGTGATTAAATATTAAAATGGTAGCACACTAGAAGATTGTTTTTGTGTTTATTTTGGGGATGGTCAGAAAATGGAAAGAAGCATTAACTCAAGGAGAGGTAACAACACAAACCGTGAGATAAGCAATGATGGGAAGTGTTGGTGGAAAGGCAGGAAATTATTCTGGCAAGAATCTGGCATGGAAGAAATTTGGTGAAATGGCAAATGGGTTAAAACAGAAAAAGGAAAAATGAATTCTAGTCCTAGTTCAACCACTAAGGTTCTCTTAGGTCAACATTGACAATTTCTATGAGTCTCCATTATCTTGAGAAAAATGAAGGAGCTGGGCTGGATGACCTCTAAGGTGCCTTTCAGTTCTGAAGTGCAGTTCTTCTGTAAGGCTACGCAGATTGGAATTAAAGTTTAGAAGTAATTTAATTTTAATACTACATTTTATTTGTTAAGCCAGTATACCCAAACCGTTATCATTTCAACATGTACTTTAAAAATATTAAAAATTATGTTTTTATATTAGGTCTCTGAAATCTGTTGTGTTATTTTATCCTTACAGTACATCTCAATTCAGACTAGCTACATCATAGGTGCTCGTCAGCCATATATGGCTGCTGGCTCTAGAGGGTTTAAACTGAGTAGTTATTTCTAGGCAATGGAAATACACTAGTTCTTTCTCATTCAGTATTATTAATCAACATGTTTACTGGGCACCTATCACAGGTAAAAGGGTCTTTTTCTCTTCAATCTTTCAAGTACCGACTTGTTGTCACCCGCTCTTTTCCTATCCAAACTTTAGGAGATTAAATGCCATGTTTATTATTTCTCTTGTTAATTCTCATTTACTTCTCAAGTTCTTACACTGGATTTCATAATCATATCAATAATACCATTTTTATTAAAATCACCCATGACAAAATTGCCAAATCTAAAGGCTTATTTCAGTGTGAGCTGAAAAGGTGAGCCCTTTTTAAGTCAGGTATCAACAATCCCTAACTTGAAATTTTAGTTGGTTTTTATACCTTCATTTATCTTGTTCAAGGTCCCAAAGTTCTGCTTGTTCTTTCTTGATCTTTTATAACTTCCTCCTCTGCCTGCTCCTCAAATACTATGTATTTCTGTCTTTGTTAGCGTCTTATTTGTATCCTCTACAAATTCTTCCTGAGTACTCTCATCTGCTTCCAAGCTTTACCTTATCAGGTATATGCTGAGAGTTCTCATATGATTATTCAGGCTCAGTTTTTCGCCTATGCCAGTAGTTTTTTCTCCTAGACCATGATCTTTATCTGAATTTCTTTATCTGAATGTCCTTACAGGTACTCCTAGCTAAATATGGCTGCCCGTTCAGCACAAAACATCTTTCTCCTAAAATTTACCCAACTTTTATATTCTCATCTTACAGTACCACTCATGTTCTGAACCCAGAAGCTTAAGATTTTTCTTAGAATTCTGGCTCTTCACCCTTCCCAGGACATAAGCCGCCAAATGCAGACTATTGTTAGAATGCCTTGTTGGTGAGGTCCCTGCTTACCACCACCTCTTCCTTGGACTGTTTTAACAGCCTCCTCACTGGCCTGTCAGCCACTGGGGTCCCTGGAAAATACTCCCAATCCATCTTCAACACTGAGGCCAACATTAATCCTTCTTTAAGAAGATGTCACTTCTCTGCTTAAAAACATGTGCTAACTTCCCACAGTCTGTAAGAACAAATCCAGATTCTTTGTCAGGAAGGGTTCTTAACTGTCTTTCTGGTTTTAAGTTTCTATTACATTATTGACACCCACACCTACTCTGTGCTCCTGCTATACTCTAATCTTCCAGTTTGGTACTTTCTTCTTGCAGGTCACCTCTGCCTTCAGTCTCCTTCTCTTGCACTGTCTGGCAACCTCCTGTATTCCCTTCAAGATCCATTTAAATGCCACCTTTTGCTTTTTATAACATTGCTCTTTATTGCAGAAATTAAAACAAGCACTTATCCACTTATATTTTTACTTCTTAAACATTGCTCTTCTTCACTATGCTGTAAACTAAAAAGTAGTTCCCTATTTTTTTGGTAATTAGAGGTGTCTGACAAAGTAACTCAGGAATTGCTGAATGCTATTTTCTATCGTTATATAAAGGTGAGTTGTGTTCTGCCAGTAACAATTTTCTAACATTCTGTTTCTCTATAGCTTGATTTTTAAAATATTTAAACCTTAAATCCACTTGATTTTTAAGCTTGGTTTAAGCTATGAAACCAATTTAATTTTCCCCCAAAAGTATTTTTCCCAATACAGTTAATTCTTTTTCCCACTTTGGGGCATCTACTTTTTATCTTAAATCACTTAATTTAGATGCTCCTTACCTCTCACTTAGACTATTGCATTAGTCTTCTGTTTTCCATGGCATCTGCAATCTCGTTCTAGGTTGCCTTTGAAACTACCTCAGATCAAGCTTTCTAAGCAAGAAAGCCATTTCTAACATTCACTCCCTCAATCTAAAAGCTTCCACTGGCTCCCTTCTGCCAACAGGATAAAATCAACCTTTTTAGATTAGTATTTCACACCCTCACCCTTATAAAGTGTTTCAACCTGCCACTCTCCATAATTTTCCCCTTCCTTGGTTAACAAAGAGTACAGTGATTGAAAGCATAAGATTTGGAGTCAGTCCAATCCAAACTCCATTCCTTAAAAGCTGTTTAGCCTGAGCAGTTATTTTACATCTATGCCTCATGTTCCTCTTCTGGTGCGTGAGGCTAATAGTACCTACTTCATAGTTTGGTATGTGAACTGGATGAGTTAATACATAAACATAGTTTAAGAAAACTGAGCCTGAATAACAGAGTATGGTAAAATTTGATCAGTAAAGGTTAAACTATTCTTAGTATCCTCTAAGGGTGGACCTTTATCCCTGCACAAGGCCTTCCCAACAAGTTCTCCTTGCTTTCCCTAGGTGTCTTTTTAGGTATCTGTTCTCACGTTTCATCTGTGGTATTAATTTTCTCTCCCTGAATACACTGTGACCCTCTCTAGAGCCATGCTAGCCAAAGGGAGGTGTAGAAATGCAGAAACTTAGGACCCATCCATGTTTGAATGCACACCAAATCACTGAGGAAACTTGTTAAAAACGCCAATTTCTAGGTCTCGGATTCTGAGTCCAAGGTCTGGCTATGCACCTCTCTTGGCACTATCGCAGGTGGTCTCTTTACCACTCTTTGAGAAACACTGCTCTCAAGCCCGTAACAGAGACAGTCCCTTACTTGTCCTTGGTGAGCTAAAGATCTGCCAGACGGCAGGCAATCAATAAACTTAAATTCTGTAAAAGGGGGCGGAGCATTGTGTCAAGGGACTATAAGGGCTCAAACAGGAAAAGATGGGATGAGAATGCACACAACGATGCCTTGACCTCTGATTTAAACCAAAAAGGGTTGCAACTGAGTAAAGAACTTCTAACTCGGGGAGGTGTGAACACCTGACCAGGGGCATAGTGGTAAAAGCAAACGAAGAATCAAGAATCGGCTTTGAATCCCGTTCCCCTGGGCCCGGCCCTCACCGTATAGCAAGTGCTCGGTCTCCTGCAGCTCCTGCTCCTTTTCGCTCAGCAGTTTGGCCGCCGCCAGCAGCTCAGACCCCCTGACCTGCAACTGGGCTTCAGATCCTGCCTGACGCTCCAAGAAGGTCCGCAAGGGCCCGCCACGAGCGAACAGCTCCTCCAGCGGCAGGCTTCCGCAGTTTAGGTGCCGGCGGGCCGGGCTGACAACCTGGCGGGCCCACAAACACCGAGCAGCACTCCGAAGAAGCTGGGACCGCATAGCTGAACGGCAACCCCCGAGCTCGACCAGAGCCGGAAGTTTCGGATGGCGAATCTCGCGACACCGCGCGGAGTTTGGAATCCGGCGAGAACTGACCGTGACCAGCCCGGCGCACGCGCCAGTTTTAAAAGGCCTCCCGAAAGCCTCGGTGGGAATTTTGTGGCAAGCATTTAAACGCCTTATTATTCGCGGAGGCCGGAAGGGGGCGGAGCGGGAAGTGATCCGAGTGGGTCCCAGAGATTCCCCGGCTCATTTAGAAGCTGGGTCGGAAACGCCTCCTTGAATGTGCTAGGGCGGTGTGTTGGGCAGGAAGGGGGATGCTGAAGTTTGCCACTCGGTTTTCTGATCTCGAGGATTTATTTCCCAAGCACTGAATGAGGATCTCGAGTACCGCAGTGGAGGGTAGTGTAGTCCGCTAGCGGGGTTGAGGTCACAGCCACGAAAGCCCTTTCCAGTACCAGCCTGGCTTTTCGTCTCCAAGAGTGATTTGTAGGATGGGCATCGCTGTGTGTGTGTTTACTCCTCTTCCTCTTTTTCTGCTCATGTCTCTTCGACGGTGGGTAAGGACGGGACTAGTCTACTCGAAGGCAACCAGAAGAGTGATTTCCCCAAATCTGCTTTCCTGCCTTTATGTGCCACGAAGTTTACTTGCTTTCAAACGACTTCCTTCCTCACCGAGTCTCTTGCCCGTCCATTCTCACTCCGAGTTATCGTTAGCTACTTTTAAAAGAGATTGAGTGATCCCATGTTCCAATAAACCACAGCGCAGCAAAACCTTCAGAGTCCCGCCTTCGGTAGCCCAACCTCCATCTGCCTCCAAAAGCCTTGAGATAGCGGATTGGTGCCAGGGATACTGAAGTTTATTGGTATAACGCTTTGCATTTTTTCAAGAGCTTTTCACAGCCCACCAGAGGGATGGATATGGGGGTATAAATATAACCAAGGCAGTCCTGGGGATGCAAGGGCTGACTCAATCCGGGAATTCCACTACCTGACTGGTTTGCGCAGTGTACTAAATGTTTTCACTGTTGAGAGAGCTGAAATACTGAACACTCTTGCAGTTTGTTCTTTAAAAAATCAAATGGTAAATACGGGAGCCCTTGGCAAGGTTAAGTCATCCCGAAGTCGTCTAATCAAAACTACTGAGGTTTGGTATAAAATTCTTGGAAGATGAGCTTGCATTATCTCTTATTCACTCCTTAGCTCTACATACAAATGCAAAGTGAAGTGGAGGAATGAGATGACTCTCCAAATTATATAAAGCAAAAATAGATTTTGCTACTTAAAAGCTCCAACTGATTACCTCAACTATTCGTTTCACTTTGTGTATTCAAGCCACACTGCTTTATAAAATCGTTTTTCTTTAAGATAGTGGTTGAAACCCATTTTAATTCTGATCGGAGTATAGAACAGTACTGATCAGGTCGTTTTTTTATCTTTATTAAAATCAGCTATTTCCCAAGTCTAAACTCTGAATTTTTTTTAAACCATAGAAATGGTGGGAGTCACTTGAACACAGTATGATAAATTTCTCAGCTGAATTCTCAAGTCATTTCAAGAATATTATTTATAAAAGGTGAAAAAACCTGATGGAACGCTGTGAAGAATCCAGCCAGAAATTATTGTATTCCCTAAGATGTATAAGCAATTTAAGTAATATAAATAAGTGTACCTTTTACTCCTATAGTGTTACACCAATGAGGAAACAGTAACTTGTCTAAGGATACATTGGTGAATTCTTTATTAATTCAAAACATTTTTAAAAAGTGTAATGCATGTGCATTTTACAATAATATCCATAGGTTTCCACAGTATCGTTAAATGAAAACAACTGTAGTTTGATTTACTTTGAAAACTAAAAAAAAAAAAAAAAAAGTGTGAGACTTCTGAATTTCCTTACATTATTGTCATGCTCAAATTCTATTATTACATATTGAAGATTCTAGCATTTTCAGGAAGTCTATTATCTGTACATAGGTAAAATGATAAAATAGATTCAAGGACGGGGAAATAAAAACCCAAAACAACTTAAATTGGAGGAAAAATAATCTAGATTATCTATTCAATTTATAAGTACCTACAGTTATTCTGACACTGCAAAATAACCAAGCATGTGTCTCAAGTTGCATTCATGCATTCAAAATTCCTTTATGGTCCACTATTATGAGTGGACTACAAAATATGGATATAGATTATTAAGTACAATGAACATGGTAGCAAAAAACTGCACACATTCAATATGATAAATTTTACAGAACCAACACATTGAAATTATTTTTTTATATTTAGCAAACACCCTAAAATCATATACAAGAAGCTGTATTTATGACAAATAGGTTAAAGCAAGGGGGAAAAATCAAGTCTTTTATATTATTTCAATAATCAGTGTTCATTGTTCTGTTGAGGGCAATATGGAAAAGCACTCAACAAAATGATTACTGATTTAAATTACCTCTTATGACAATTAAACTAAAGTCTTTGCTATCCAAGGGATGTAAAGGATAAAGTAAAGATAGTTCAAGGGAAAAAATTCACTTTCACCTCCATTAAGTGAATATTCAAGCTAACATAGTTTTGGAGTTTTATTTTCCCATCGCACTGTATTTTCTCCATGGTATTTGTTAGCAGTCATTTAATGGAACCTAACAGCAGTACTGAGGAATCTGCTCAGAATTTTTTTAGCTCAGCTTTAATGTCCAGTACATTTACCTCTAATATGATCTCTTAATAATGTATTTGCTTTACAGTGGTGAAACCTAATAAACACTACCTCAACCAGCTGATCAAGGTCAATATTAACAGTGGTAAGTCATGATGGTGGGATGTACCTCTGATATCATGTGATATAAATGGCACGTTACTTCTGTGATCTTCCAAAAACTGGTAACACCTAATCATGGGGAAAACATCAGACAAATTCCAATTAAGGGACATTTTACAAACTACTAGACCAGTACACTTCAATACTGTCAAGGTCCTCAAAACCAAAAAAAGTTTGAGACTGTTGCAACTAAGAGGAACTTAAGAAGACAGGATGACTAAATATTATGTGTATCTTGAATGAAATCCTGTAACAGAAAAAAGACACTAGGTAAAAGCTAAGGAAATCTGAATAAAGCATGGACTTAATGCATCAATATTGGTTCATTAGTTGTGACAAATGTCACAATGGGTGTACAGTATATGGAACCTCTCTGTGGTATCTTCACAATTTTTCTGTGAATCTAAAACTATTCTAAACTAAAAGTTTAATGAAAAATTTTATGAACACACAACCACCTTTTATTATTTTCATATTTTCATGGTAAAATTAAAAAAAAATCATACCAGGGCGCCTGGGTGGCTCAGTTGGTTAAGCGACTGCCTTCGGCTCAGGTCATGATCCTGGAGTCCCGGGATCGAGTCCCGCATCGGGCTCCCTGCTCAGCAGGGAGTCTGCTTCTCCCTCTGACCCTCCCCCCTCTCATGCTCTATCTCATTCTCTCTCTCAAATAAATAAATAAAATCTTAAAAAAAAAAATCATACCAGAATGTTTCTATTCCGTGCCAATTTCAGTGTTTTCTCATGGCCAGTCTCTCATAACTTAGTTTTAGCTTTATTTCCCATATTTATTTGGCAAATTATTTGATGTTTATATTCTTCCTGTCCTTGGGAATGTTTTATTTCCTTTGGAAATAAAATTTTTCAATGACTTATTTATCTTATTTAAACATTTATTTTAAACCTACAATATTATACATGCATATGCATACACACATCTATATACATATATCTGTGTATGTGTGTCATGGAAAGAAACATACTTCCTGGTTGTAGGTTCAGTATGATGTTCATGAACTGAAAACTGAATTTGAATCATATTGAACAAAGCAGTAACAGATTCATATAGTCCTCCATCTTAAAATAAGTGTGGATGAATAATTAAATCAGATTTTTAAAGTATGCTTTCCTAAAGAATTGGGGAAAAGTGCATTAAAGTGGCATTTAATTCATACATTCTTGAAATGGGAATAATTATTGAGCTGGAGAAGTTTGATAAAGTAGTAATAATATATGTAACACTTTATTCTTTCCATGTTGACTTCTTTTAATTCTCATGGCCACCCTGTAAATAAGGGTATTCTATTCCCCATTTGAAGATGAGGAAGCAGGCTCAGAGAGGTTCAATATAATATTTGCCCAAAGTCCCATGAGATAGAAATGTAACTTGAATTCAAATTTATAAGTAAAGCCTGGTATTTGGGAACAACTGTATCAATCTATGCACTACCATGTGTTGCAAGGATACTATTAAGAACGTTGCAGGGAAGATCAGAAGCCAAGTTTTTGGTATCAGTTTTATTGATAAATATTTGCAGTTGTAACAAGTGAGGAATAACTAAAACTTTTACAGATTTAATACTGTTTTCTCAGGAGAACAAGCATTTTATATCGGTCAGAAATTTAAAAAGAACTGAAAAAAGCATGCAAATATAAATGTTTGCATAATATATTTTGAAAAATAGGGTCAGCAGCTGTCAATATAAAAACACAGGCAAGAAAGTTTTGTGGAACGGTCTTTACCACCTTTCAAAGTAATATGCCATTGTATCCAGAGCAAAGTTTTTAAAATTCATTTTTGATAGGGTTCTATCTATAGGCATTTTAGACCTAAGAAGTTTTAGGTGGCTTTTGAAAGAGTTCTTATTTTCCTATTTTCTGATTGTATTTAAAATTTCTTCCTTCTGTATTTATTCCTCAAAGCATCTGACATGTTGTATTTTTTGCAAATGTAACTTGTCACAATTACGATATGACATTTTTTCAGTATGTTAAAAGTGTATAGAAAAAATGGATATGTTCAAGGTTAAGAATCAGGTATTATTTTAAGTCAGCTTAATGGGGTGAAAATGTGTTTTTGCCCCTAATATAGAAACATTATTTACCTACTTCTATAGTCCTTTTGCAAAACTGAACTATCAGGTAAATATATGATATGCATTTCATTCTGTAAGTAAGAACCTAGGCAGCATTAAAGGATACTAATAAACACCCCATGCACCATGACCAAATATC